AAACAAAATAAACAAGCAGACCTGAAAAAAACAAAGCCGTACATAAAGTGACTATTTTGATGGTCACCAGAAGGGAGGGAGATTATCGGCTGGATAAAAAAAGTGAAGGGATTAAGTACAAAGTCTGTCTGGAAAAAGTCCAGCCATTGTTAATATAACAAGAATGGTTTGTGTGACATCGATGTAACCCAGCAACCAAGGAGAGTGGACTGGAATGGTCATGCCTGAACAATGACAACGTGGCTGTCACATTCACAATGACTGAGTGAGTAGATCAATGAATCTGTATCAAATTTTGCAATAAGCTTGAATATATCTCCATGGAAACTATTTGGATGATTCAGAAGGCTTTTGGGGACGATGCAATGAGTGCAGCCCAAATAAAAGATGGCACAAATGCTTCCAAGATGGTCGAGACTCTGTTGAAAGTGATCTACCTTCTGGAAGGCCTGCAACAAGCAGTATACCTGAGAATGTTGAACATGTATGGAATACAATCAACAAAGATTAGCAACTGACAATGCAAGAACTAGAAGCTGATCTGGATATTCCAAAAACTACTAAGATTTTGACACAGGACCTTGGCAGAAAATGTTTTGTGGCAAAATTCATCCCATGGCTTCCACTACAAGAGCAGAATGAACATCTTGTAGAATGAACATCATGCTGCAGCTGCTAATGATTTGATTTAAACTGCTACCAATGAACCACATTTCCTCAAGAAGGTCGTAACTTGAGAGGAATCACAGATCTACTGCTATGATACAGAAATAAAGGCCCAGTTGTCCCAATGGAAGTTGCCGGTTCTCCAGGCCCAAAAAAGCCAAGGCAAACAGATCAAGATCTGTTAACTGCGTTTTTTGATTGTGAAGGTATTGTCCATTATGAATACGTCCATCCAGGCCAAACAATTAATAAGGAGTACTACCCCAATGTTCTTTGTCAGTTAAGAGATGCAATAGGATGAAAAGGGCTGCAGCCATTGGCAACTGGTGATTGGCAGCTTCACTCATGCATCAGCCTTGTGCAGAATTTTTTGATGAAACATCAAATCAGCCAGGTGACTCAGTCCCCCACAGCCCAGATTTGGCACCTGTGACTTCTGGCTTTTCTCAAAATTAAAATCACCTTTGAAAGGGAAGAGATTTCAGACCATCGGTAAGATTCAGGAAAATATGACCAGGCAGCTGATGGCTGTTGGGAAAACTGTGTGAAGTCCTGAGGTGCCTATTCTGAAGGGGACTGAGGCATCATTGTCCTATGTACAATGTTTCTTGTATCTTCTTCAACAAATGTCTCTTTTATTCCACACTACATGGCTGGATACCTTCTAGACAGACCTTGTATTGGTAGTTAGGGAACTGTCATGGGGACATAAAGCACAATACAGGAATATAGTTAATAATATTTTTTTAAAGATTTTATTTATTTATTTATTTTAGACAGAGGGAAGGGAGGGAGAAAGAGAGAGAGAGAAACATCAATGTGCGGTTGCTGGGGGTCATGGCCTGCAACCCAGTCATGTGCCCTGACTGGGAATCGAACCTGCAATACTTTGGTTCACAGCCCGCGCTCAATCCGCTGAGCTATGCCATCCAGGGCGATTTTTTTTTTTTAAAGTAATAATGTTGTTATAATTATGTATAGTGTCAGGTACTAGCTTCATAAGCTACATTTAATGGCTCATCGCTGGGTTGTACACCTGAAACTAATATAATTTTCTACATTAACTGTAATTGAAAAATAAAAATAAAAAATTAGTGTATACGGAAATGCAAAAAACCCATTATGTTGTACACCTAAAACTAATGTCATATGTCAACTATACCTCAATTTAAAACACTGAAATGACATCAGCAATTAAATTCTCATCACTAAATGAAAATATCAAAATTTACTCATGCTTACTATGTATTAGATACTTCCTCTCACTTTTGAGATATAATTAACATTTTTATATAAAAAGATACTTGAAGTTCAGAAGTTCAATTAACTGACCCAGTATAAATAAAGCTAGGTAGTAGTGAGCCTGGCATTCAAACCCAGTTGCGCCTGCTGCTGAAATCCATGCCCTTTCCAACATTACCCAGACCTGGGAATTCATAGGCCCTCAAATTATGAATATAAGGTACAACATGAACATTATGAAGTTATTCACTCTAGCAGAAAATATTAAAATGTTTATGGTCCAGAAAAGATGAGAGTAATCTGGGTAAGATTTTCCAAAATACTTAAAGGCTTGTGTTTAGGACCAATGTAAATGTTTGCAACAAGAAAAGAAATGGTACAAAAGAGAAAGTGTTCAGCAAAGTTTTGAACCTGTACCTCTGTCAAAGACAAAAGACAAAATACTTTTAAGTATTAAAACTATGATCAACCCTGAATGGTGTGGCTCAGTGGACTGAGTGGCCCACCTGCGAGTCAAAGGGTCTCTGGTTCAATTCCCAGTCAGGGCACATGTCTGGGGTGTGGGCCAGGTCCCCAGATGCTGACATATAAGAGGCAACTAATTGATGTATCTCGCATATTGCTGTTTTTCTCCCTCTCTTGCTCCCTCCCTTCCCCTCTCTCTAAAAGCAAATAGGTAAAAATCTTTAAAAAAAAAAAAAACTGATCAGTCAACTTACTTGGTCAAACACATTACAACAACAGAGAAACTCACCACTGCAAAGGAAAAAAAATTAACATCTTTCATAAGCACAAGTTTCAACACAAAATCCTGCAATAATGTTTGGCAGAAAACTAGGACACTTTGGAATCTTAAACAACAAATCTGTAATGCTTAAACAACTGGCACGTTTCTGACATTTAATTAAATACTTTGATAATGAAGATGTCTAATCTGCAGGTTCCAACTAATTAGTACTACTTTAAAAACACTAAGTCTTAATCTTTTCCTAAGCAACCTCAAAAGAATTATGTGAATATCTTGATAAGGGAATAGCTTTCACTAATACCTTTGTCAATGTATTTGTTGAAGTTATAAAGCTTTACTGTAACCTTACTTTCTAATTCTGAAATATGATACAGTTCAAACTTCAGCAACTAGGTAACATGTTTTTCCCAAAGTAATGTGAAAAAGTATATGTACTTAATATTAATACTTGGTAAAGAGAGTTCAAAAAAGCACCTGAAGTGGTTATTAAAATAATTAGCCCTGTATGGTGTGGGTCAATGGATTGAGTGCCCACCTGAGAACCAAAGGGTCTCCAGTTAGATTCCCAGTCAGGGCACATGCCTGGGATGAGGACCATGTTCCCAGTAGTGGGCAATCAGGAGGGAACCACACATTGATGTTTCTCTCCCTCTTTCTCCTTCCTTTCCCCTCTCTCTGAAAATAAATAAAATCTTTTAAAAAAATGTTTAAGTGTAAATAAAGCCTTACAGCATGTTAAAATTGCAATGGCAAAATCTGTCCTTTTCATAATTTTTGCCAAAGAATACAAGGTAAGCCATCAACATCATAAATAAGGATTTAGCCCTGGCTGGTGTAGCTCAGTGGATTGAGCACGGGCCTGTGAACCAAAGGGTCACTGGTTTGATTCCCAGTCAGGGCACATGCCTGGGTTGCAGATCAGGTCCCCAGTTGGGAGCATGCGAGAGGCAACCACACACTGATGTCTCCCTCTCTTTCTCCTTCCCTTCCTCTCCTAAAAATAAAAAAATTAAATCTTTAAATAAATAAATAAATACGGATTTATTTTTTCCTAAAGCACTGTGATGTAAAGCCCACTTTCCACCAAAATCCTTCCCACATAAAAATGCGAATTAATAAATTTGCCACAAAAATAAAATTTTCCAAGAAAACAGGCTAAATACAGAACTTCAAGCCTCAGCACAAATGCAAATTCATACAGTATTTTTACCTTCTAGGCAAGGAAACAAATTAAAAAGTGAGCAAGTATGATAGAAGATCAGTGTTAAGTGCAATTAAGACTGGGGCGTGGGAGAGGGGGGAGACGAATGCTACTAGGGAAACAATTAACATGTTTCACCTAAAAGCTTTGAATTAAACAGATCTACCACTGGCACGTTAACAGGCAAAAAATAAAGTGTGCATTAATCAACTCAGTGCTCCCAAGAGGTATGCCTTTTAACATAGGCTTTTGTTTACACTCTAATGTCTTCCAGAGTTCCTAACAGTTTTTTTTTCTGTGCAGAAATTACTTCCAAACATTTAATAGGCTTTCTACAGATCATCCGTACCTTTCTGATTTGATTTACACATATCCAATTACGAATTCCCTATCGACCTGCATACTTCTTTCTCCGGATGGGCCTCCATCCACTGGTTACAACCACGTATCAACATTTTTCTTTTCTTTTTTTAAATAATGCTTTCTAAGAGCATAAATAACTAGTTGCCAGAGGCAACCAAAAATAGGAACTGTGGAGGGAGTTATTAATGGGACTCTTGCAGGGAACATGATTTAAGGCAAACAAAATAATAATATAAGTACTACAAAAGAGCAGGGTTTTTGCTTGTCAAGCTGTGTACTTATTCCTGTTACTAATACCGATTACAAACCACGATAATATCGAAGTTAAACCTTCTGCCCTCGCAGAGATTTTTGCATTAACTTCCCGTGACCCCTTAAAGTGTAAAGACTTAAACCAATCATTCACAGCCACACTCCGTTCAACTCTAAGCACAACCCCTTGCACTCCCGCCCCAAATCTGCTTAAACCGCTTCCCTCCTCCAAACTTCACATCCTATCCGCGGCCTACCCTACACCTACGTCTGGTCGCCACCAGTCGCCAGTGAGGGCTGTAGTCCTATCATGCCTTGTTTTCCTGGTCTACAACAAGCCTCCAACCACGTCCCCAAATGCTCCAAACAGCCTTAAACAATCCTCCCGACGTCGAGTTTCCCTGCTCTTCCTACCTGTTCCCAAGCGCCCCGCCAGGCCTCCAAAGCACGCAACGGCCGAACTTGAAAATGGCGGAAAGTGCCCTCGCCTGCTACCGGCGAGATGTCCTGTGGCACCGCCTCACTCACCTTCTGGGGCGGAGCGGAGCTCTCAATGACTGACGAGCGAAGAGCTCCGGTTCACTGCCGGGTGTGTCCCTCCTGTGGGCCTCCTTTCTCCGCACCTCTCAAAACCTCTCCTCCAAAGGAGCAGCCGCCATGTTCCTCTGGGAACTACCGAGCGCACGCCCTTGCGTCAACGCGCACCGACGTACGATTCTACGTTACGCGCGCCTGGGCCACCAGGTTCCGTAGGGCTCGACCTGCGCATGTGCAGAGATGAGGGGCCGGACTTGGTCAGAGCCCTATGCGGCCTATCAGAGCGTATCCTTTGTTGCCTCTAGAGGAATGTTGGCTCTGCTTTGGGAGGAGGAGAGAAGCCAGGAAGTTTGTCTGTGTTGACTGTCCACGTTGTGAGGCAACCCTGAAGCAAATTTGAAGGAGAATTTTGTTCGGTATTAGGTTATATGGCCAAACTAACGGGAGAGTCAAATTGTGGACAAAGCATTTGACCTTGCAAAGTCTTTTAAAATGGTGTCTCATACCTGAGAATGTAAATGAAAGCCCCAAGGTGAGTCAAGAATGCAGCTACCCTATGTGATAGTACTTCTAGGTTAGAGTCTATAGCCCAAGAACTAAGTAAGCCCTATGGTATAACCACTTTGGAAAACTTAGAGTGTGTAAGAAGCCACACAGCAATTACACTACCGGAAGAATATAGCCACCAAAGAAGGCTTGTACAAGAATATTCATACCAGCTTTATTCATACAACCAAACAATGATAATCCAGATGTCCATCAGTACTTGATGGTAAATAAACTAGGGTGTGGTTATACAATGACCAGTGTAGCAATAGAAAATAATTCCTGATGATCACAAAAACCTGGATGAATATCACGGGTGTTGTTAAATCAGGCACAAAAGAGCACACTGGATGATGGAATTTATATGAAGTTGAGAATAAAACTTCAAGCAAGCCGTCTTCTAAATTTTGGAAAGTAGTATGGCAATATGAATCAAGAGTCTTAATATAATTGTCTAACCACTATATTGTACATTGGGAACTAATACAAAATAATGTTGAACGTAAAATATAATAAAAAAATAAAAAAAATTTAAAAGAATCTTTAAAATATTTATTGCTTTTGACCCTAATCCTTCTTCTAAAAATCTATCCTAAGAATAGTCTGAGAAATGTGAAAAAGAACTATCGACATACCTGTTACTGAGGTAGTACTGAAGATAGAAAAAAAAGGAATAAATTTAAATGCCCAACACCAGACAATAGTGCATCATACAACAGAATACTACACAGACATTACAGAGTATACAATATAAAGTTTTAATAACATCAGAAATGCTTATTATCTCATTATAATGGGATATGAATATCAACAACTGTAATTACAGAGTCCAGCCCAAATAACGACCCCCCTTTCTATATTGTTGTTCTGTTAGTTGTCCCAATTTTCCCCTTTGCTCTCCCCTGCCCCACCCATCCCCCCACCCCACGACAGTCAATCCCCACTCTGTTGTCCATGTCCATGAGTCATTTATGCTAGTTCTTTAACCAGGCCTTTCCCCTTCTTTCCTCCCTCATCAGCCTTCCCCTTCCCTTCTGGTTCCTGTCAGCCTGTTCCTTGTTTACATGCCTCTGGTTCTATTTTGCTCATTTGCTCATTTTGTTCATTAGGTTCCACTTAAAGGTGAGATCATGTGGTATTTTTCTTTCACTGCCTGGCTTTATTTCACTTAGCATTAATACTCTCCAGTTCCATCCATGCTGTCACAATTTAATGCCCCTTTTTTATTATAAAATCTTTCATTACAAAATCATAAGCATGTAAATAACATAACAATATCACACTCAAGTACACCATATGAACATTTTGGGTGAAATGTTCAGATTAAAACTATAAATTATTACATTCATATTATTATTACCCTACCAATCACTCTGAAACAGGCCTTACTTCTGCTGGAACATGTATGTATATGTAACAAGAAATAGCTAAGGAAATAAAATGGTGGGATTATGAATGACTATTTCCTTCAAATATCTGCATTTTGCTTGTGTAATCGAGGGAAAGGGGTTTTGTTTGTTTTTAAAAAGCAGGTTACTGACATTGTATGTTATTTTGTATTAAATTCATTTCTATTTGTTACCATTTACAATATCCAACTTCTTGTCCATTGCTTAACATCACACATCACTTAGGGAATCTTCCTATTTTTCCATTTTTTAGATGAGACTTGGAAACCACTGGGTGTTGTTAATAAATATCACAACCCTAAAACTCCCCAGGTATCAAGAGTTTAGTCTTCCTTTTTCCCAATTCCAGAAAGACAGGAATTATCAAAAACTTGGAGGCAACAAGCAAAGATTTGGGAAAGCAACAATTTTACTGCAGGCTACTATTGAATAACAAAACTTGAATAAACGTTAAAGATCTTCCTGACTTTATTCAATGATTCATGAATTGGGCAGCACCCTATCTAGAAGACAGAAAGGGACTTCAAGGAACTGTGGAAAATCAAAGATTTTATAGGCAGAAGGGAGCAAGAACAAGAAAATTATAACAGGCAGAAAATCAGATTACTAAAGACAAAGTCACTTTCCTTTAGAGGATAACAAGGGATCTATGGTGCAGATTACCTTGTTAGTGCCTGATTGACTGATCTAACATTCCATTTGGGTACAGCCAAAATTGTAATTAAGTCTTGGTTTGGGGGTGTGGAGTATAGCATAAGTGACTCCATTTTGGGACTGTTGTCTTGCTTTTAACACTAGGATATGTGATTGTGTATATCCCCTATCCCCTAAAAAAAATTATGATGGAGATGGCAGAGGGAGTAGCAGGAATCAGTTGTATGGAAGAAATCATTACTCAATCAACCAAACCACTTATTCATACAACAAATAGATACTGTCCTGCATTTCCTCTAACTTCTGGGCACAGAATAAACCAGATCCCAAGGAGTTCCTTGTAGGACAAGAAGCAATTCTATTTATATCTGGTAAGTGTAGGGATAGGCAGGCAGAAGCCCTGAAGGAAATCCAGAATGGCAGGCAGGACTTTCATGGACTGAAGAGAGGAGAGGGGTCAGAAAGGTTACCCTAAGGAGTCCACCCTTAATTTGGGTCCTAAAAGTAAGATAGAGAAGTGATAAGAAGTCTATTCCTAGATATAGCTATAAGTAGTAGGGAAGGCATTCAAGTATATTTAATTGTCCTAGGGGTCCTTGAAAATCTTTAAAATGTGCTGAACTGGAGCATCATAAAATCATCATAAAATGTTACCATAAAAATGTATTGTATCCATCCCTTACCAGTGTGGCACAGCTAGTTGGGCATTATCACCCACTGATGTTTCTCTCCTTTCTCCTTCCCTTCACCTCTCTCTAAAAATAAATTAATAGCCTTCTGGCCAACATGGAGGTGTATGTAGATACACTTTGCCTTCTCACACAACCAAAAGAAGGATGACAACAAATTTAAAAACAAAAACAACCAGGACTGCCAGAAAATTCAACTGTATGGCAGTCTGACAAACAAGGAGTTTAAAAAGAAACATTTATCCAGACTGTCAAGAGGGGCAGAGACAGGGAGCCAGGACAGAGAGAAGAAGCAGCAAAGTGGCATCTGGAAGACTGGGCAGGCAAGGTGGCAGCTAGCAGTCCAACATTCACATGTGGATAAACTGAGAGGAACAACTGGGGAGCAAGACAGACTGTGCAACCCAGGGTTCTAATGCAGGAAAAGAAAGACTCAAAACCTCTGGCTATAAAAAAAACTGTGGGGGTTGTAGCAGTGGGAGAAACTCCCGGCATCAAAAGAGAGTTTGTTGGAGAGACCCACAGGGTCCTAGAATATACACAAACCCACCCACCTGGGAATCAGCACCAGAAGGGCCCAATTTGCTTGTGGGTAGCATGGAAAGTGACTGAAAGCCAGCTGAGAGCTGAGCAAGCAGCATTGTTCCCTCTTGGACCTCTCCCCCAAATACATCGCCACAACACAGACAAGTGGGTTGCCCTGGCCTGGCGAACACCTACGTCTCTGCCCCTTGCAATGTATCAGCTGCACCAAGACAAAGAAATGTGTCCCAAATGAAAGAACATATCAAAACTCCAGAAAAACAACTGAGTGATGAAGTCATATCCAACCTATCAGATACAAAGTTCAAAACACTGGTAATCAGGATGCTCACAGAAATGGTTGAGTGTAGTCACAAAATAGAGGAAAAAGTGAAGGCTATGATAAGTGAAATAAAGAAAAATATACAAAGAACCAACAGCGAAGAGAAGGAAACAGGGACTCAAATCAACAATATGGAGCAGAAGAAAGAAATAAACATTCAACCAGAACAGAATGAAAAAACTAGAATTCAAAAAAAATGAATAGAGGCTTAGGAACCTCCAGGACAAGTTTAAATGTTCCACCATCTGAATCATAGGGGTATCAGAAGAGAAGAGGAAGAGCAAGTAGTGGAAAACTTATTTGAACTAATAATGAAGGAGAACTCCCCCAATCTGGTGACAGAAATAGACTTCCAAGAAGTCCAGGAAGCTCAGAGCATCTCAAAGAAGTTGGATCCAAGGAGGAACACATCAAAAGCACATCATAATTACCTTACCCAAGATTAAAGAGGAGGAGAGAATCTTAAAAGCAGCAAGAGATAAGGAGACAGTAACCTACAAAGGAGTTCCCATAAGACTGTCAGCTGACTTCTCAAAAGAAACCTTGCAGGCAAGAAGGGGCTGGAAAGAAGTATTTGAAGTTAAGAAAGGAAAGGACCTACATCCAAGATTACTCTATGCAGCAAAGCTATAATTTAGAATGGAAGGGCAGATAAAGTGTTTCCCAGATAAGTTAAAGTCGGAGGAGTTCATCATCACCAAGCTCTTATTATATGAAATGTTAAAGGGACTTATCTAAGAAAAAGAAGCTCAAAACTATGAACAGTAAAATGACAACAAAGCCACAACTATCAACAACTGAACCTAAAAAATAACAAAAACAAAAACAAACTAAGGAAACAACAAGAATAGGAACAGAATCACAGAAATGGAGATTACGTGGAGGGTTATCAGTGGGGAGGGGGTAAGGAGAGAATGGGGAAAAAAGGTACAGGGAATAGAAGCATGAATGGTAGGTACAAAATAGACAGTGGGAGGTTAAGAATAGTAAAGGAA